AATTGAATGTCAACTGAAAAAGCGTATTACGAATGTTACCCTGCCAAATAAGTGCCAGCTGAAACTGTTTGATAGTGCTTGCTGTGTTACTTATTATCTTGCACGAATCTGAGGTTCGGATTTTGATAAAATTGATACAATTGAGAGAGTTAATAAAAAAAATGTGTTTAAAAATTTTGTTAAATGTTGGTGTATTTTAAAGGTAAGGAAAGAAAACAAGTATGCATAATTATTATCTGATGTAATAATATGTGACAGGAAATTGAATAATAATACAATCAATTGTTTAATTTAGAATCTTTGAATATGGATGAATATACATGTGTATGGTTCCCACAATCTTTATCAAGTAAACAATGGCTAATACAAACCATGAAGTACACAGACTAAACGTTTACATGCGTCCGAATCGACCTTGGTTGGCTTCATTGTGAACGATTTGTATCTACAATAAAAACATAAATATACATGCGTTTAGTAAGGACACTGACTGCGGACTGTAGAAAAACGAGTCGCTTGGCCATATGTACTGCATCCCACCCATAAAAAATAAAACAATGGACTGTCTGAAATATATATCCTGACTGGGTAAAGAGAAAAAGAGTCCTTGAATAAGAATGTTATTTATGGGCTTTATAAAACAAACTGCAATTTTAAGGTTATTTACTTAAATAGAAATTGTTATTGCTGTTGTACGTGTGTGTATATATAGAAGGCATTGAAATCTGTATACGAATTTCATGTCAGATCATTTATATTATAATTCAGTGATGATCTTTACTCTTTCAACAGCAAATGTGTTTGAATTATCTTGGAAACAAGATTATGTACCATAAGATAAAGTGTGTGGGCTTATTTCAGAGAGAGAGAGAGAGAGAGAGAGAGAGAGAGAGAGAGAGAGAGAGAGAGAGAGAGAGAGAGAGAGAGAGAGAGAGAGAGAGAGAGAGAGAGAGAGAGAGAGAGAGAGAGAGAGAGAGAGAGAGAGGGGGAGGGGTAATGTTTTTGCTCGTCGCGGAAGAAATTAAGACTGGAATTGGTGGTGTTTATACATCTGATCAATAAATACAATGCTAATATCGATACATACGTCCGATCAATAAATGCAAGGCCAATATCGATACAAAGATGGAACCTATTCGATTATTTGAAGTAGAAAAGTTACGTTGATGAAATTAACTTAATAAGAGCATATATCTCTCAGATCATGTTAATCACGAAGAGGTAATTTACTTATCAACATTCTCTAATCCTACTCTTACTAACATCACCCATGAATATTTATGGAAAACGTATACGAACTTGGTCCAACTATCGCAAATTTTTTTTTTAAAAAATACATATAAAATATTATAATATATCACCTTAGAAAGATCTGAGACAGTCAACTGTATGGGACGAATTATGAAATTATTCGTATATCTTGTCAGCAGTGTACTTACTTCACAGCCGATTGGGTTCAATAGTAATTAGGGATTTGTTGATAGTTATCGGAAAGCCATATAGAACATAAAGGCAACTCTTATCGGACAGATAATCCAGAAGATGACTTTGAATCTGTTGGGTTATCGTTACGTCTACCAAAGCCTAAACAGGATAAGGTTTCATTGTTATTCTTATGTCTCTTCTGCAGATAAAGAATGACACTGGAACATCATCAGATTTAACTTCTTCGCATCTACAGTTAAAATCGCATTGGTTCGAACAATGAACGTCCGAGTCAAAATATCGAAGTGACATCAAGCCACCAGGCAAGTATGATTCATGTGATTCGATTTCATGGTTTTTATCATCGATAAGAAAATGTTGAAAATGGATAAGGATTCTGAATCTTGCTTCAGATTTTAACTTTTAAAAATTTGCCACTTGTGAATGGCTGTCTGTCTGTACTTCTGTATTATAACCGCTTCAAACAGAAATCGCTCTTAACATTTCAGCCAACGATACACAGTGACAGAAAAGGAAATCCAAAACGAAATGCATTATATTTTAAATATATTTTATTCACATGCGTAGTGATCTAGTAAGTAGAAACTGCACATTTGTTCATTAAGTTTTGAAATGAAGTCATAAATAATCTATTTGCATAATCTATGACCTCAGCATTCCAAGAAAGAAAAATGCTTTGAAAATGTTTCATTCACATGGTTCTACAAGAATCATGTGTTGCCTTGGATTATTCTTGCAACAACACACTATGCTTATTCCTTGCACTATAATTAAGTAGGAGCAAAAAATAATAGTTGTAATTATTATTATTATTATTATTATTATTATTATTATTATTATTATTATTATTATTATTATTATTATTATTATTATTATCATCATTATTATTATTATTATTATTATTATTATTATTATTATTATTATTATTATTATTATTATTATTATTATTATTATTATTATTATTATTATTGTTGTTATTATTATTATTATTATTATTATTATTATTATTATTATTATTATTATTATTATTATTATTATTATTATTATTATTATCATCATTATTATTATTATTGTTATTATTATTATTATTATTATTATTATTATTATTATTATTATTATTATTATTATTATTATTATTATTATTTTACCCCTGATTTATAGCCTGCTTGTGCAGTTGCTATAAAAATATATGAGATTGGGTTCTCATTGCATAATGAAACGCCATTTTGACAATGGATATTTACCCAATTACACCACCTAAATGTTCCATGTGACGCCACATCACCTGCCTATCTATAAATTACAAGATACATGTATTAAAATAGAACGCAGGTGCTGAGACAAAACCCAACAGGAATAATTTGTTTGCCACGAGCAAGGGATCGGTTTTCAGAGTATCAGAGCAAAAAGAAGATGAAACAATATAACTCTTTTCTAAAATACATACATACATACATACATACATACATACATACATACATACATACATACATACATACATACATACATACATACATACATACATACATACATACATACATACATACATACATACATACATACATACATACATACATACCATACATACACACACACACACACACACACACACACACACACACACATACATACATACATACATACATACATACATACATACATACATACATACATACATACATACATACATACATACATACATACATACATACATACATACATACATACATACATATGCTCACTTACTAACTGAAATGCGTGTATGCATGCATGCATAAATCAAAATTTCCATGAATTCAATAGAATCAATGTGTGGTTTTCAAATGTGCATTTGACTTATTTTTGTGTGCAAACTCAGTTATGACAACAAGTCGAGGTTAATGGCAGTTCTTGAAAACTTGAATCATTTGCTCGAATATAAGGTAAATCAAAACCAAAATGTAACAATATTTTGCACGTACCTATTAATAAGAACCTATCATACATTTCTTTATGTATCTCATGTAATCATACGTACTTTGTCTCAAACGTTCCCATATCTAATGTTTCATATGTTTATATTCCCACGGATTAGAGTATTGATCCATACAAACTCAGGCTTATTGAATCTCTTTCATTCAAACGCATTTATACCAATTAAACTGACGCATTGATACCTACCAATTTTGCACGGCATGCTTGCATATATCATTAAAACAGGGCCAATATTTGTCAAGCCAGGTGTGTATTCAGCGAAATTCTATACAGATTTCTTTACTTCTGCCAGATAAGAGTGGCGATACATTAAAGTAAGGACACATATGAAATACTGGGTTCCGCATAACACTTGTCTAGGAGAGAGAGAGAGAGAGAGAGAGAGAGAGAGAGAGAGAGAGAGAGAGAGAGAGAGAGAGAGAGAGAGAGAGAGAGAGAGAGAGAGAGAGAGAGAGAGAGAGAGAGAGAGAGAGCTAGCTTTCACCTGCTTTATTCGAGTATTCAATGAAGTCATATTACTGAAGCTGATGTCAGAATTTCCATGAAGTAATATTACTGAAGCTGATGTCAGAATTACAGTATCTGCTTTAGTTTTCGCACTCTTTTTGATTTTTGAAGGAGAGTACTAGTCAAAATACTTAAACGTGCAACTTACCTACCCTGACGCATACAACTTGCCCTGACAGTATGTATGTATGTATGTATGTATGTATGTATGTATGTATGTATGTATGTATGTATGTATGTATGTATGTATGTATGTATGTATGTATGTATGTATGTATGTATGTATGTATGTATGTATGTATGTATGTATGTATGCATGCATGCATGCATGCATGCATGCATGCATGCATGCATGCATGCATGCATGCATGTATGTATGTATGTATGTATGTATGTATGTATGTATGTATGTATCTATGTATGTATGTATGTATGTATGTATGTATGTATGTATGTATGTATGTATGTATGTATGTATGTATGTATGTATGTAAACGGTTTAACTGTATATTAACACAAGCCTGGTTATATAGTGGCGAGTAGGTTTAAGTATCCAAATCAAGGCATACAAACAAAGATACAGACCAAATTAGTTGAAGTTCTTAAATTAGAAACTCAGTTCTTTTTTTAAATATTAACTGTACTATTTTAAAAGTGTAATACCTTCTCAGCTGTCCAAAACATCATCACTCAATGCATCCTAGGGACAAAACGTTGGCTATATAAGTCGCCCTTTATTACATGAAGGAGAGCTAATCGTGCCGATTCTTCACCTCCGAGTCGGCCAAGCGACGTAGAGTGTGTGTGTGTTTGTGTGTGTGTGTGTATGTGTGTGTGTGTGTGTGATTTAGATTTTTAACGTATTTGTAACAATTTTTCAGTCATATCGATGTCTGCAGTGTGACAGTTTATAGTGATGCCTAGCACTGGAGCATCATGCTGCAGACATGTGGCATGATGTCCCACCCAGTCACATTATTCATACACTAGGACAACCAGTCATAAAACTAACCTCTTAATGCTGAGCGCCAAGCGAGGCAGCTGTTAGTACCATTTTTTAAAAGTCTTTAGTATGACTCGGCCAGGGTTCAAACCCACGGCCTCCCGCATCTGAGGCAGACGCTCTAATCACCAGGCCACCCGAGCGGTTCGCGACGTAGGTGGGTGTGTCTGATATAGCAAAAGATCACATACTGGAGTGAACTAATTTAAGCATATAATCTGACAAATATTTAAATTTAAATTTTAATATTTAAAATTCAAGGGGCCCTGAGTTGCCGAGTGGTCTAAAGCGCTGACCGTTACGGATCACTGCCATCTCACCTCTGCGTGAGTTCGAGTCCAGTCTCGGGTAACGTGGGTACGTGAGAAATCCTGCCAGTAGCTTCTCGTGGGTCGGTGGTTCTTCCCAGGGTTTTCTAGAGTTCTTCCTCCACCATTAATACTGGCCGCCATGTATAGCCTACCTTGTGCTGAAAAATGGCGTTAAACCCTACAACAACAACAACAACAACAACAACAACAACAATTTAAAATTCATGACATTGTGGATGCTATATAATTATCCCAGTTTTAATATCATGGCATTGAACTAAACGATTTAAATAACGACGCCTACTATAGCTGTTTAAAACCTATATTAGGAGAAATTAAGTTTTCAAGTACTCTTTCCTCGCCCCCAGTCCGACCACTCCTGTAAATCGGCCATTTGTGATTGAGTTTCATTCCGATACCCAGGCAACTAATACGTGATCTATTTTTCTTTACATTTCTTCAATATGTTTTGCATTAACGGAGGGTCAAATAAGGTAGATAACTATTTGATTAGTATTTCATTTATGACACTAAACATATTATATTATCTGATATCCTTTAACTGAACGAATAAAACAATGAAACTCTGTTTTAAAAAATACGCTCAGAGAAATTGTGCTTTTTGTACTTCCCCAACTCCCAAAATTCAGACGTCATTTTGATAACATCTAATTAGCCAATATGTGATATCCTTTCTACATTTAGTACCATATGCCCTGCATTTTACAGGTGATATTCTAACTGATTTTTTAGAGAGCATCAACATTGTTTGTATACATCACTTTAATTAATTAAATGGATAGTACGTAACTCCAGCTGTTTGATAGCAGCAATTGTTAGTTAAACATGTTTCGCGCCTCGGCTAACTGAGACTTTTCAAAACCTGAAATTACGGCCCTAATTCAAGGTTAACTAAGCGGAAACTATTATCAACTGTGCCCTCATTGTCTTATAAAATTACCAGGTTAGTGATTGATATACAGTATTTATAACTGGTGAATTAGTCTTTCCTGTTAACGTTGTTTACGTAAACATTCAAAGGCGTTTTCTTCAAGGGGGAGGGAAGCAAATATATATACGTTGGTATCTCAAATGACTTTGCAATAGATTAGTAGGATATCACAACTGCAATGGTAAGTAAAGTTAACAATATTTTCTGTTGATATTCTAATATCAACAATTTGAAGAGAGTGTCTTTATATTTGCGAATGTAGTGGTGTATTAGTGCGTAAAAATTGTGTGCGGTACTTGACAGGCTCTATATTAACCCTATCAAGACACAAAACCTTAGTCATTCGTTACCTTGAGAAAACACTTTGACAGACGCAACATTATATGCATACCTAGCCTAAATATATTCTTTCTTCTACGTGAACTATATTTCAGTTCCAAGTCAATAATGGCTCTTGTATATCATAATTTATAATTATCTCTGCGTAATGCAGTCTTTGCTAGCTGTAATTTCACTAGTTGTAATCCTGGGCACGGGTGGGGAAGGGGTAGATCAATGATCCTATCATGCGATCACATCTTTGTCCACGAGAATTGATCCAAATTTTTATCAAATTTTCTTGTCAACACCATAATACTAATTATGACGATACAAAACTTCTACTAAGAAATACTCGCGAAAGATTTTAGTGCAGTGGATTCTACGTCACTTTTGTTCTTGAAAGACCGCCATATTGATTGGCATACTATACTATAATCGGTACTGATATATTTATCGACGGACCAGACTCCTCCTGATGGAATGGTAGGTGTACCATTTTCTGACAATTTTATTAATATATTGCATAAAGAAACTTTTTTTTTCATCGATGTCCATGTTACTGGTAATTTATTATGTATTCGTTTTGTCAAGGGTTCTATTATTATAGTAAAAATAGCTACCTCTGTATTGATCACATCTAGGCTTGGATTTAATACTTAATTCCTTTGCATAACATAATAGTGCTAATTTCTTCTTCATTCTTTCTTTGTGTTCTGTTTTGTCGCCGTCGTCATCGTCATCATCATCATCGTCGTCGTCGTAGTAGTAGTAGTAGTAGTAATAGTAGTCTGAAATGAGATTAGTACGTCAATAATATGTGGACATTCGATCTGGCACTTTCTTTCATATTGTTTAAGAACTTTATCCTTTTAGCATTTTTTTCTTTTGAATACTTTCTAAAGAACTTTGTAATTTTTAATATTTGACCGTGTAAAGGAAAATAATTGCTTTATCAATGTTTGACCTTAGAACTTTTTAAAAACCATTGCCTTTTATCTTGAGGGACAATATAGTTACTTTATGAAGAACGGTTTTATATTTCTAAAGTTCACTGAATCGTAAAGAAGGCAAGTGTCATGCTAAACAAAATGATATTTAATTATGATATTTCCACTGACGCATTTCTATGAATGAATATATCACTATGTTTCGTTTTACAAATACGTCAGTTTACTCAGCATTACTCTTTTACTTTTGTCACGTTGATTACTTATTTTTTCATGATTATGTATTATCCTGAATTTAATTACCCAATTAACCTATTGTAATCTCACATACATACATACATACATACATACATACATACATACATACATACATACATACATACATACATACATACATACATACATACATACATACATACATACATACATACATACATACATACATGCATGCATGCATCCATCCATCCATCCATCCATCCATCCATCCATACATACATACATACGCACGCACGCACGCACGCACACACGCACACACACATACACATACATACATACATACATACATACATACATACATACATACATACATACATACATACATACATACATACATACATACATACATACATACATACATACATACATACATACATACATACATGCACACTATTACCGAATCGCTCTGGTGGCCTAGTGGTTAGAGTGTCCGCCTTAGATGCGGGAGGTCGCGGGTTTGAACCCCGGACGAGTCATACCAAAGACTTTAAAAATGGTACTAACAGCTGCCTCGCTTGACGCTCAGAATTAAGAGGTTAGTGTTAGGACTGGTCGACCTGGTGTCAGGATAATGTGACTGGGTGGGACATCATGCTACATGTCTGCGGCATGATTCTCCAATGTTAGACATCACTGTAAACTGTCACACTGTAAACATCGTAGCGATATGACTTACAAATTATTAAAGTTACGTTAAAAATCTAAATCAAACAGACACACACACGCACACACACACTATTACCATTTGTCTATCCATCCATCTCGCCATGGAACACAATCAATTTTACTATATAGTCTCTACATTTTGTTTCTCAGTACTGAACTTTCCACTGTGTGACAATCAATACAAATCATATGTAATCTAAAATACCTTCAAAGATGACTTTACGGTGAAGATCTTGTCAAGGGTTTACCTGCATTTATTGAGAGCCTGAATTGTAAACAAAACACCATGCAACGGAACACATAATTTACTTCCGAATCATCACCATGTCCTTTTTACTAACTGTGCACTGTCGCCGAAATACACACAGACAACCATACTATAAGCTCACATTTTAAATAATAGACAATTTCCTTTAAATCCTTACCAAGAATGCCAAAATCTAACTCTTGTATATCACCACCAAACAGAGACAGGAAAAAATTATCTATAAAGACTGGGACTACATTCGTGGGTACTGAACCGGAAAAATTGTGTTCTGATTCTATCTGACTTAATATATCAACTAAAACATACTCTCTCTCTCTCTCTCTCTCTCTCTCTCTCTCTCTCTCTCTCTCTCTCTCTCTCTCTCTCTCTCTCTCTCTCTCTCTCTCTCTCTCTATATATATATATATATATATATATATATATATATATATATATATATATATATATATATATATATATCTTCATTACTCTATGTTTATGACTGTTTTTTTTTTTCGTTATGATGTTTTAAGGCACATAAACACAAATAGGTTGCATAGTGCTAGGTAACTGAAGTAAATTGCCTTGCTTTAGAAAGCACCAAGGTGGCCTAAACGTGGTGACTAAGGTATATGATATTCAAAATTGCGCCACTTTTGTCATGAGTCCGGCACGCTGGCCACTGAACCACCGTTGCTCATACCTCTATTTGTCACCTCTTACGACATACGTAGCATTGCGATAGCCTATTCTGCATAGCCGAGACAACAGGCAATATGTCTGCCTGCAGTTACACGATTTTTAGTTTAAATATTACTCTAAGTTACCATATACAATTTTCTTAATTGATAATGGACACTTATACTGTTTCTGAGAGACTTCGGATCTCTAAGATAAAGTTGATCCTCAATAAATATGTAAAACTTGTATAGAACCTATCAGATCGATATTCATACTTAACCCTGGTCATTTTTATTTAAAATGGATTTATGCAAGATTGTGGAGGGAGTACGGACGGACATGTTCTAATCCTCGGTGTGTAGATTTATGCTTCTGTTTCCAGGTCAATCACAGTTCTCGTAGGTTTAGGCAACATGCAAACGCCTTTTAGGATTGCAAATGAGATAGGAAGGAATGTCTTCCGGAACATGAGATACACGATTATATCTTGCACAAAATATCAAACAAATCGAGTTACCTTTTCTTTTCTTGTTAAATGCGGACACGTCTGAGATATAAAAAAAAAGAAAACAAAAAGAAAAAAAAATGAATGGTTTACATGGTAGTCATAAATCTTGGAGTGAGTAGTCAACAGTGTTGATTTTGATAAATTTTTATCTTTGTGTAATTATGTATGGATCTTAAGCTTTTCAGTGACCTGTAAGAGTTCATCGATTTATACCTACTGTAAGAGCATTACCGC